GGAGAGTGATCACTTTAGATAAACTATTACCAGCAGGAAAGTGGGGTGGGAGGAGAGAAAACCTTTTGGTAGTGGTAAAACACCCATTTTTTCATGCTTTGTGTGTATAAAAAGATCTTCTATACTTTCCACAGTATGCATCCGATGAAGTGAGCTGTAGCTCACGAAAGCTTATGCTCAAATAAATTGGTTAGTCGCTAAGGTGCCACAAGTACTCCTTTTCATTTTGTTCCTTGAATAATTGCATACAAATCACCTACATATTGGAATCTAGATCTGAATTATAATGTTATTGTTTCCACTTTTTACAAAAGAGGTTTTAAATTATTTACACGTTTTTGAATAATAATTACACAAATGATGGTGTGATTTGAAGTGCATCAGACAAGGCTTCAGAATTCAACAGACACACTGAAAGCTCTTCTGAATGGTTAGCAGCTCCCAGCAATTTATTAAATGATACAGAGTATTAACTTTCCCTTCAGATTCAGAAATAGCTATGATTATGAAAAATTATCCAATTTTCTGGTTAATAAAATTTAAGAGAAATTTAAGCTACAGGAGATTTTAAAAAAAAGAGTTTGACACACCTGAGTTTAAGTAGCTGAGTAAGTAGTCTATAAATATAGGGTGTTTTTTAAAGGCTGGTCTAGTCTCCTTTTGAAGAACACTACATAAATTCGTTACCCACCTTCATGTTATGACCACTGTTATCCCATGATTTAGCTTACAAGATGTTGCCATGAACAATAAAGGCCCAAGATGGTGGCAACTTACATGTAGTACAATGATATTAGTGTGTCTATTTCTGATTACAATGTCATCAGCACCTGTTATCATTGTAACTCCCCTCAGTACTTATGAAAGTTCCATGCTTGCAGCAAAGGGAAAACAGACACCTGAATGATCATCATGCACTCTATTATTTCAACTATGTTAACAGAGAAAAATGTACAGAGTTGTACATATTCCCTCAAAGTTTCTAGAAATCTTTTGGGGAGAATGGGTTTCCCTGCTGAGTAATATCTGGGATTATGACCTTCCCCAGAGAACAAATTAATTTATAAAAACATTAAACCCTTGATTGCAACTGCAGTTACTTCATTCCAACTATTTATAATATTTAAAAGCTGACCTCAACTTTTTCTGCCTCCTTCAAGTTATTAAGGAGATGTAACCTGTGATATCTACGGTGTTGTGAAATACTGCTGTGGTGGGTCAGTAGGTAACATTTTTCTCTGGCAGGTCATAAAGGTTCACGTTTTGTAGCTTAGGAGCAAGGATTTGTTTTTTAACTACCACTCCAATACAGCATTAGAGGGCACTGTAATGCTAGAAATGCTGCCCCACATCAGCCTTGCCAAAGAAAAATGGGACATCGGCAATATGTATTCCTGGCGTCCTGCAGCAAGTCCCCAAATAAAGACTTTCCCTGCTTATCTTGGTCCAATGGCATTAGTAATATCTGACAAAATTGAAAAGCCAAGATAATTCTCTCTCTCTCCTTTTTATAAACAACTGACCATGTATTTCATTCATCCTTGAAATAAAGCTTATAAATGTACTGCATGTACACAGATTTGTAGAAAATGCAGTATGTGCATTTTCATATTGTTATCTATGCATGGTGGTTTATTTTTGTGTGCGATATTAATAAACAGTTCAAATACTATTATTTTATTTGCTTCATTTAAAGTTCAGTAGACAATTATGGTTTGTTTCTAAATTGAAGCTGAAATTTAGAATCAAATTATGTTTCAGTTGAAAAGGGGGTAAGTACAGTTCTGGGATTTATTAGTTTCTGCTACAAGTGAAAAACATAAGTTATTAATAAGTTAAAATTGGAAAGAATGAGGGGATCTCCTACTGATCGGACACTACTACATTCAGACTTTCTTAGCTAGCCTTTTCATAAGGCAGTCAGAAGTAAATTCCAGACTGGAGTTGCTTCCCTATCTTGCTAAATAGTTTCCAGTTACTTTGCTTCAGAAATGTATCATTTAATGTTATTAATTTACATACAGTAAATCTAGTGGAACATTGAGATTGAAGTTCTGCTCTCCCACTTGTTACTGCATGCATCTTTAACTTCTAGAGGAATCCATGTCAATATGCAGTTTAATATTTCAACATATAAAAATATAATTTACTTCTAATTTTCTTTATATTTTTTCAGGACATCTAATGAAATCAACTGGAACCTGTTCACATAAGAACTAAATAAAACCTGAATCAGGTGATTCCAGTTTTGGTCCAACATATATAACACCAAAAAAGTGACGCATTCCCTAGTAATTAATTACGGGGTAGATAATCACATCTCACACCCTCATCTCCTCCAGGCACATAAGAACGACCTGGTAATGCCTGTATCCAAGGAATTATGTCTTAAATGGTGAATATGACCATACCCAGCCAAAGAACATGCAGGCTGATCCTCAGCTGGAGTTATGACAATTTAAAACAGCTGAAGATCTCTCCTTGGATTACATTTTGTTACCAAGTGATCTAAGGGGGAAAAACCATAAGCACTTTGCTCATGTGGCAGTGATATGTACAATAAAACGTATCTGTTCTTGTACAGGTCACTGCATAGTTAGTTACTAAAGGCATGTTACGGAGAAAAAAAAATTCAGCTGCAGTTTTATAACCGACTAGGGGTGTGGTTTCCTTGAAAGAGCTTTGTGTGCTATAATATCTTAAATCAGATAAGGGGTGACTTTATAGATCTTTGATGCTTCCTTAGTTCCTTGCGGTTTAAAATATCTTGTGATCAAAACACATATTTGCCAACAGAGCATTCATTACCATAAGTCACATGCATATCTCCTGTTAATAATCATTAAGGTCAGGAAACCAACGTTTCTGCATAATGCAGAATGCACTCAAGCCTTCAGAAGCTCTTTTCGCCTTATAGGTAGAGACAGATTTGTCAAAAACCAGCTGAATATTATTGAACATGACATATTTAGGGTGGATAACATTAAATATTCACGTCAGGGTATTAAACATAGTCCTTGTAGACTATTACAAGATGTAACAAATGTGTAAATTTATCTTTTTGGTATCTCTTGATGCTCTCTGATATAGAATTTATTTCCCAAATGAATTTTATGGTACTTTGTGTAAACACTACGAAGTAGGTGATATCTAGTCCATTAATCTTTTTGTTTAGTTAGATATCTGGGTCTCTGTATCTTTTGATGTCTCATTACTCTGTCATTATTATATTTTGATTCTTTGACTCACTTTAAATTCTCTCTAACAGAGTTCTTTTACTTGGCACAACTGGGAGCATGAAATTAACTTGGCACCCCTCAAGTTGATAGAGACTAAGCACTTGCAAAGTGCTTTCTATTCACATTTCATGGTAGTTGAGAATGAATAATCAGGATCCTACAAATAATTCATTCAGCGTGAAACCAGACTCGGACAAGTAAGTCCTGAAAATCTGGATAGACTGTGATAAGCTCTGAACAAATTAATACATTTTTTTCATTTTTCTGACTCCTGTTAATTCACTAAAACTGTTATATGAGGGTTTTCATACTTAGCCTGAATATTTGGTAACATGGTCTTTATACACATAGATAATGGCTAGCCCTCTGCCAATGCTGCTGAGTGCACTGGCCAATTCATTGCGATGCTAGGGACTGACTGAAAATGGAGTCTCCCTTTCCTCCTTCAAAAGCAGCAGGAGTAGGAAAAATGACGTTTCTGTTCCAATATTTGTTAAAGGCTGAACTTGCATAATACCTCTTTCCTACAAGGAAAACAAGGATAAGATGTATGTAGATCTACAGAGTATTGCATATGAATTGCCCTTTTGTTCAGTCATTTTCATATATATGTTTAAATTAAAGATAGGCCTGAAGCAGAATATTGGATCCAGACCTCTTACTCCCCACAAATGGAATTGGATCTGAAACCTCTGATCAGAGCTTTTCAGCTCTGGCCCATCTTCATTTTAAGCAGCCTTCTGTGAAGACATTATTTTTTATACTCAAAAGCTTTGGAATTTTTGCTCTCGAAAAGCTATAGCTCTACTACATGTGACCCCAGTTTCCTAAAATAGGCACATAGCTTATGTCACTCTATTTGTTTCTTTAATTAATTGCCTTTTAAAAAAGAAGACTTTTGACTTATGTAACTACATAAGTGACAGTTTCAAACATAAGGCACACAATTGCTGCCAGTATCCTTTGTGCCACTTGCAGTAATATAGTCTACCTTTTCATGGCTAATAATGTCGGGGCAGATTGTGACAGATCTTTGCATTTGTGGATTATCTCTCCACTTCCCCTTTCAATGGGGCCAAACATGGTTGCAGTCCAGAGTTCCAGTAAGCACAGGCACTGCTCTCCATTAACACGCACTGAGGCACAAGCCATTGAAAAGGTCCCCCTGACCTTGCCTTTCCTCCATCCTGGCCAGCAAGAGAGATATCTGGCACAGACTTGTTTAGGCCGACAAATAGTTTGTTCCAAGTAAGAGAGAAAATTCCATATGTATCCAATTAGACTGTGCCTCAGACAGTGTTGCTCTGTTCTTTAATTATTTTGCATTTGTCTGATCAATTAAAAGAAGGAAATCATAATTTTGTATCCCTATTTTCTAGATATGTGAGGAGTCACTACTAGTTCTTTACAGCCACCAACAGAGATAAAATAAATACCAAGGTGAAACAGTATCTCACTAAGAAATTGCAATCATGTGCAATTAGCTTCCTTGTTCATGGGAGAAAATGGAATGATGTCATAGTTTTTTTTACCCAATGGTATGCGTGTGAATACAGCTGCTGCATTATTATGGCGTTCATTTTTGTCTACTATGGCACTAGTTCCAGTCTCTCAATAACGGTTTCAGAGTGCCTTCTAAAACTTTTGTATTAGTGTTAGCATAAGTGACTCCTAATGTCACTGAAGTAAACTGCAAGCATTGAAGCATGAGCATGTTGTATATCTCATTAATATCCAGCTATCTAAGAGAAAAATTCAAACCTTTCAGAGTCCGGAAGAGAATAGGGTCAGAGAGCGGTCCCACTCCTTTGGCATTGCGAGCTTGGATTCTAAAGTAATACACAGTATCTAGGTTGAGGTCCATGATTTGATGAGTAAGTCGGTCACCACTGATTGACTCCATAACCCAGTCATCAATTGGAGCATTCTTGTCCAAGGTGTAGAACAGAATATAAGCTGCATAAACATTGTCTTGGTTAGTACATATAGTGCATTTTACAAACTATATTTAAAATTCAAATTTCAGACAAGATAAATATTTTTTATTTCACCTACATTAATGACAGGTCTTTCATTAAAATCTATTTTGATGAATGTTACAAGAATTAATGCATAATTTTCCTATTTCAAGATCAGAGTATCAATTGCAGTATTCACTGCAATATAAAACATAGGATTAACAATTAGGGAAATACCTAGCAAGCTTTATTGTGTTATATTTGTTACTTGTACATAACACTTGTCAAATTCAGACTCGTGATCCAGTATGATATCAGTCATAAGCCATATGTGATAAGTCTTTAGTGTTTCAGGGCTGTTATAAAACTAAACAACATTGATGATGCACATCATTCACTGGGTGCTCATGAGAAACCATGCAATATTTCCTGGTAACTATACAGTAAATCCATTTGAAAAAAACATGGTAACTCACTGTAATGCTATCACTGTATCTCACAATCCCCAGGAAAATAAAATAAACCACCACTGTAGGTAATTTGATTTAGTCCTAAATTGTGCACAGGAGCCTGTCCAAAAGGTGAATACAGCTGACTCGCTGAGTAATAATGACCATAATGTAATTAAATTTAACATCCTGGTAAGGGGGAAAATACCAAAGAAACCCACCACAGTAGCATTTAACTTCAAAAAGGGGAACTACACAAAAATGAGGAAGTTAGTAAAATGGAAATTAAAAGGAACAGCCAGAAAAGTACCATGCCTGCAAGCTGCATGGAAACTTTATTAAAAAACCACAATAGAGGCTCAAACTAAAAGTATACTCCAAATTAAAAAAAAAAAAGCAGTACAAGGATCAAAAAATGTCACCAGGGCTAATTAACAGAGTAAAGAGGCAGTAAGAGGTAACATTCAAAAATTGGAAGTGAAATCCTAGTGAGAAAAATAGAAAGGAGCATAAACACTAGCAAGTCAAGTGTAAAAGTATAATTAGGCAGGCCAAAAACATGTTGAAGAACAACCAGCAAAAAGTACAAACACTACAAGCAACTAAGGACACAGAAATCAGACACAGGAATCTTGCAAAACAATCAGAGGGGCACTGGATGATCGAGGTGTTAAAAGAGCACTCAAAGAAGACAATGCTGTTGTGGAGAAGTTAATTGTTTTTTTTTTGCATCAGTCTTCACTGCTGAAGATATGAGGGAGATTCCCACACCTGAGCCATTCTTTTTAGGTGACAAATCTGAGGAACTGTCCCAGACTGAAGTGTCAATAGAGGAGGTTTTGGAACAAACTGATAAATTAAAAGTAATAAGTCACTAGAACCAGATGGTATTCACCCAAGGGTTCTGAAGGAAAATGCAGAAATTACAGATGTGAACTTGCAGAACAACTAACTGTAGTATGTAATCTATCACTTAAATTAGCCTCTATATCAGATGACTGAAGGATAGCTAATGTAATTCTGATTTTAAAAAAGGACCCAGAGGCAATCCCAGCAATTACAGGCTAGTAAACTTAACTTATTACCTAATTTCTTGCCTAACTTACCAGGCAAATTGAATGAAATTATAGTAAAAAACAGAACTATCAGACACATAGATGAATACAACATGTTGGGGAAGACTCAGCACAGATTTTGTAAAAGGAAATCAAGCCACAGCAGTTTATTATATTTCTTTGAATGTGTCAACAAACATGTGGATATGTAAAAACAATGAAGAGTCCTTGTGGCACCTTGGAGACTAACACATTTATTTGGGCATAAGCTTTCGTGGGCTATAACCCACTTCATCAGATGCGTTGAGTGGAACATACAGTACGCAGTACATATATTACAGTACATGAAAAGATGGGAGTTGCCTTACTGAATTGGGGGGGGGTCAATTCACGAGACCAATTCAATTAGAGTGGATGTGGCCCATTTTCATCTGTTGACAAGAAGGTGTGAGTATCAACAGAGGGAAAATTACTTTTTGTAGTGACCCAGCCACTCCCAGTCTTTATTCAAGCCTAATTTGATAGTGTCAAGTTTGCAAATTAATTCCAGTTCTTCAGTTTCTAGTTGAAGTCTGTTCTTGAAGGTTTTTTTTGCTGAAGAGTGGCCACTTTTAAGTCTGTTATTGAGTGTCCAGGGAGATTGAAGTGCTCTCTTACTGGTTTTTTAATATTACAGTTCTTGATGTCTGATTTGTGTCCATTTATTCTTTTGTGTAGAGACTGTCTAGTTTGTCCAATGTATATAGCAGAAGGACATTGCTGGCACATGATGGCATATATCACATTGGTGGATGTGCAGATGAATGAGCCCCTGATGGTGTGGCTGATGTGGTTAGGTCCTATGATAGTATCCCTTGAATATATATGCAGACAGAGTTGGCAATGCGGTTTGTTGCAGGGACTGGTTCCTGAGTTAGTGTTTCTGTTGTGTGGTGTGCAGTTGCTGGTGTGTATTTGGTTCAGGTTGGGGGGCTGTAAGCGAGGACTGGCCTGTTTCCCAAGGTCTGTGAGAGTGAGGGATCGTCCTTCAGGATAGGTTGTAGATCCTTGATAATACACTGGAGAAGTTTTAGTTGGGGGCTGTAGGTGATGGCTAGTGGCATTCTGTTACTTTCTTTATTGGGCCTGTCCTTTGTAGTTGACTTCTGGGTACCCTTCTGGCTCTGTCAATCAAGCATTCTTAAAACTACAATACCCACCTGGGGAAGTGAAGAAACAGATTGACAGAGCCAGAAGGGTACCCAGAAGTCATCTACAAAGGACAGTAACTACGGGGGGTGTGAGTGATTGCTGGACCCAGACAAGGAAGGAGTCTAGTCTGTGAAAGAAGCTTACTGGAACATCTCTAAGGGTGAGATTTACCTACATTTAGTTTCCTACTGTATTTGGCTTAGACTTGTGTGGTTTTGTTTTATTTTGCTTGCCAATTTACTTTGTTTTCTCTGTTATTACTTGGAACCACTTAAATCTTACTTTTTATATTTAATAAAATCACTTTTTGCTTATTAATTAACCCAGAACATGTAATTAGTTCCTGGGGGAGCAAACAGCTGTGCATATCTCTCTATCAGTGTTATAGATGGCAGACAATTTATGAGTTTACCCGTACACGCTTTATACAGAGTAAAACAGATTTATTTGGGGTTTGGATCCCATTGGGAAGAGGGTATCTGGGTGCTAGAGACAGGAGCACTTCTTAAGCTGTTTTCAGTTAAGTCTACAGCTTTTGGGGGACGTGGTTCAGACCTGGGTCAGTGTCTGCAGCAGGCTAGTGTGTCTGGCTCAATAAGACAGGGTACTCGAACTCCCAAGCTGCCAGGGAAAACGGGCTTAGAGGTAGTCTCAGCACATCAGGTGGCAGTTCACAAGGGGGTTTCTGTGGGGTTTCTGTGACCCAAACTGTCACCAGAGATGGTATGATGGGATAACATGATTCTGGCAATTAATTGATCTTTAACTAGTCATGGTAAATAGGCCCAATGGCCTGTGATCAGATGTTAGATGGGCTGGGATCTGAGTTACTACAGAGAATTCTTTCCTGGGTGTCTGGCTGGTGAATCTTGCCCACATGCTCAGGGTTCAGCTGATCGCCATATTTGGGGTCGGGAAGGAATTTTCCTCCAGGGCAGATTGGAAGAGGCCCTGGGGGGTTTTCGCCTTCCTCTGTAACATGGGGCATGGGTCACTTGCTGGAGGATTCTCTGTTCCTTGAAGTCTTTAAACCATGATTGAGAACATCAATAGCTCAGACAAAGGTGAGAGGTTTATCGCAGGAGTGGGTGGGTGAGATTCTGTGGCCTGCATTGTGCAGGAGGTCAGACTAGATGATCATAATGGTTCCTTCTGACCTTAATATCTATAAGTCTATCTATAAAAGTCATTGTGAATATTTCTCTGAAACCATCTGCTTAAAGTGCAATGGCAATCAAAAAGGCCCACCGAATATTAGGAAAGGGATAGCTAGTAAGACAGAAAATATCATAATGCCACTACATAAATCCATGCTACACTCACATCGTGAATACTGTGTACAGTTCTGGTTGCCCCATTTAAAAAAAAAAAGATATATTAGAATTGGAAAAAGTTCAGAGAAGGGCAACAAGTACAAGTAGGAATAGTGGTGTTGGAACAATTTTTATACTGGAGGTGCTGAAAGCCATTGAACAAAACTGAAAACCCCCATATATGATGGAAACCACTACACAACAGCGAGTGCTGCTACACCCCCAGCACCTCTACTTCCAGCACCCCTGATTAGCAGTATGGAACAGGTTCCATTTGAAGAGAGATTAAAAAGACTGGGTATTCATCTTGGAAAAGAGACAACTAAGGTAGGAATTGATACAGGTCTATAAAATTATGGATGGTGTGGAGAAAAGTGAATAAGGAAGTGTTATTTACCCTGTCACATAACACAAGAAACAGGGATCACCCCGTGAAATTAATAGGCAGCAGATTTAAAGCAAACATAAGGAAATACTTTTTCACATAAGACACCGTCAACCTGTTGAACTCATTGCCGGGGTATCTGTGAAGGTCAAAAGTATAACTGGATTAAAAAAAGAATCAGAAAAGTTTATGGAGGATAGGTTCATCAATGGCTATTAGCCAAGATTGTCAGGGATGCAACCCCAAGCTCTGGATGTCCCTAGAGTGGACCTCAGAAGCTGGGAGAGGACAACAGGGGGATGGATCACTTGATAATTGCCCTATTCTGTTTATTCCCTCTAAAGAATCTCACACTCGCCATTGTTGGAAGACAGGATACTGGGCTAGATGGACCATTGGACTGACCCAGTATGGCCATTCTTAAATTCTTATATCACTTATAAAATTCCACCACATAAAACCACAGTAACTGTAAAATAAACAAACAAAAATAGAAATTAAGTATTTTCATATAAAACCAAAGTGACTAAAACCACAAGAATTGTACTATGAGCAAATTGAGTCCCTGATCCTACAACCAGATCTATGACTGGACCCTCATGTTTTTGTGGACCCCGACCAACTTACATGAGACGCCACATGGGTAAAGATAGGTGAGGTTCAGATTGCATTATTAAGCCTTATGGTATTATTTTAAAACATAAGATGAAAGCCCACAGAAATAGAAATTATAGTAACCCTTAGAATAACAGAACTAATGTGAAATAATAATTGTCTTTACAAATAATTTCCTTGGCTACTCTAATTCTTGGGAAACTTCTTGTGTCTAAATCCTCAGCTGGTGCAAATCGGCATAAGTATTCTCATCAAAATCCCTCTATTCACTTTAAAATAAAATAATCTTTGCATGTCCCTGTTTCCAAATGAATTTGGGGTATTAATGCAGGGAAAAAAATGTCAGAATGAAAGGCCATGATTGTACTTTAAAGATTTTTGGCATTGTATGATGTTTACAGGATTGTATACAGTTATTTAGAGGTTGTTCTAACTATGAAAGTTCTTTGTAGTCATGTATCAGTCAGCCCATTTAGGTTAGTCCTTGTGATGATGATATGAGTGTCATGTGTCATATATTACCTCAACTATGTAACATATTACAAATCATTCAATGGGATTAGTCACATTAATAAAGTTACACACTTGCTTAAATATTTGCAGCTATGGAGTTTTGGTCATTTTGCCTTTGCTTGACATTTCTAAATAACATTTGGCCACTCCTGACTGCATTATAGATTTTCTGTATGTGTCGTTTTTCAAACAATTCCACAATGAAGAATAGTTCTCCATGGAAATTTTCAAGCAAAGTCAGCTCTCACTTACAACACTATAAATAAGAAACTCCATTAAAGTTACTGCCTTTGATTCTTCTCTCACTTACACCTATGGAAATCAGGAGTAATTCTATTTAAGTCAATGGAGTTACACAGCAGAACAGAAAGAAGACTCAAGACCACTGACTGCCCATTAATATGACCATTTTTCCCTCTGAAATTGGGTTAACGTCAGAAAAAAACATTTTCTATGACAATGCATACCTTTAACATGCCTTTCTTTTGGATGTGGTCATTGAGTGTAAAGTACTGAATATAATGTACAGGGAAATAATGAATAGAGTATTTCCAACCTGAGGTATATTATCCCTGGGAAATTTCCCGACAGATCCAAATATATCTTATTTTACTGGTAATACTGGACCAGATTCTCCACTGGTGTAAACCACCATAGTTCTACCAAAGCCAATGGAAATATGTTGTTCGGCACAGGTTAAGAATCTGATCCAATAGGCTTTGAATTACTCACACAGGGTTTATATTTAGAAGTATTCTTGCGCCAGCATTTATAGTTCAGGATGCTTGAGCGGTATGTGTCAGGAATTAGTAGTAGTATTGGTGACATACACAGACTATCTCTGACACACAGAAGATACGCTGCATGACTTCCAGGTGTCTATCCCAATAGTTTGTGTTAATTAAACCATTATGTGCATATTTTTAAATTGAATGATATTTGTCACAATAATTCTATGTCTCTTAGATGTCTATTAAAATCCTAAAGTGATCATTTAGATGCAAAATCTCTGATAGAACCTGTTATATTTTTCATATTAAATTAACATTATGGGCTTGTAATGGGTGTCTTAATTATGCATTGATGTTATCTGCAATATTTTGAACAATAAAATTTGTCATTGTGAAGCATCCATTAAGTTCAGTCCTTGTCAGTCAATATTAGAGTTTTTCTGATCATCAGTGCTTTAAATTGTTATTATAAAGTTAAACATCTACATAAATCCTACCATTTATGTGTTGTACTAAGCAACCTATCATTATATACCTTATTTATTACAATATTGCCAAACAAACTACTTATTATTAGTCATTTCTAATTGCCACCAGAAGACCTTTGCTCAGAATTACTACATTTAGAAAGTATATTAATGCCTTCAGCAATTAAAACTAAAGGATTTATATTCTCTCAGTTCTCCATCTCACTGTAACTCTGGCACTGAATTAACTACTAATATAACTCAGCATTTCTATGCAGAAAAAAAAGAAAGTTCAGATGAAATATTATAGTGGAAACAAAGAAAGATAGAAGAAGAAGAATGGAGGAGTGAAACCAGAAAGTGAACAGAGCTGTAAAATAAAAAGATAGACATGGGATAATATAAGCATTTACCAGTAATTTTTCCATTGGCTTCTAATGGAGGCTGCCAGCTGACAATGACAGCTCGAGGCTTCCCTTCCCGAGTAATGACTGTCAAATCCTTGGGAGCAGAGGTTGGTGCTTAAAAGAATGGAAATAATAGAACACAAACCATCAGTTTCTCAGCTATATACTTGTTTTCCTTAAAATGCTATATCAGTCATTCTTTATAACTACTCATTCTGCATTTACTTCTTTTCTTAGATCCTCTGATGCATTACAGATACATTCTCGGGCAATATATGTTGAGAACTAAAACCTCGATTCTTAAGGGAAACTATTGTATCATCCCACTGGTTATGGGTACTTCTGGAAATGTAGATCCTTTTTATCCCATTCCATTCCACTTTGGTGCTTATCTTTCACACTTCACTGTGGTATTTGAACACCTACTGTCCATGTTAGGGCCTCAAGGCATCACCATATTTAATATTAATACCACTGCTACTACCATGTTACAAAGATTTTTTAGGTGCCCATCACCATTTATGAAATTAAATTAAATGAAAATACACCTAACATGAGACATTCTGGACATAGTAGCAAAGTCCTGGGAGTATTGTGTAACAATAGTACAAAAGGAGTCCTAAATAGAGCAATATATCCCATTAAATATAGAAGGCTGGGTCTGTGAGTGTCTTGTGCCTTCTTTACACTGCATGTCTGTTGCATGTTTGCCACATAATCTTGCAGAGTGGCTTAGGGATGATCATCAATGGGATCTTCTGGTGGTGTACAGACTATCAGCAGAGTGGAGAAAGAGGGGATTGGTTATTGTTAAAGAACATGATGAGGACTGCACTGAGCTATACTGTTCCTGAGCTAGATGTTCAGTGTTTGGGGTATAATATAGTAGGTGTTAACTTAGGTATTCCTTCACTACTGGGGTAAGTTGATCTAAATTAAGCTATTATGTGAATAACGTAGCTGGAGTCGACGTAGCTTAGCTCAACTTACCTCAGAGTCTTCATTGAGCTGGGTCGATGGGAGACACTCTCCGGTTGACTTCCCTTACTCTTCTTGGAGAGCTGGAGTACCGGGGTCGACCAGAGAGTGCTGTTCCATCGATTTTGTGGGTCTTCACTAGACTCACTAAACTGATCTCCCCGTGGTGAAGACAAGCCCTTAGATTATGTCTACACTGAAGTCTAAGGTGTGATTTCAGCACAGGTATATATAACCACATGAGATTTACCCATGCAAGTATAACTAAAAATAGCAGTGTAGATGCAGTGACATGGGCTTTAATTTGGGCTAGCATTGCAGGTAAGTATCCAGGATCCTGGAGTGCTTGTACAGCCATGCTGAAGACTGTGCCTCTTTCCTAGATTCATTCATAGATTCATGGATTCTAAGGCCAGAAGGGACCATTGTGATCATGTAGTCTGACTTCCTGTTTAACACAGGCAACAGAATTTCCCCAAAATAACTCCTAAAGCATATCATTTGAAAAACAAACAATTTTTATTTAAAAATTGTCAGTGATGGAGAATCTACCACAAGCCTTTTGTAAATTGTTCCAATAGTTAATTACCCTTACTGTTAAAAAATTATGCCTTATTTACAGTCTGAATTTGTCTAGTTTCAACTTCCAGCCACTGGACTGTGTAATACCTTTCTCTGCTAGATTGCAGAGCCCATTATAAAATAGTGGTTCCCCACATAGACACTTACAGATTGTAATCACATCACCCCATAACTGCCTCTTTGTTGAGTTAAACAGATTGAGCTCTTTGAGTCTATCACTCTAAGACAAATTTTCTAATCCTTTAATCATTCTGGTGGCTCTTCCTTGAACCCTCTTCAATTTATCAACATCCTTTTTGTACTGTGGGCACAATATTTCAGCAGCAGAAACACCAGTGCCAAATATAGAGGTAAAAATACCTGTCTACTCTTTCTCGAGATTCCCCTACATATGCATCCAAGGATCACACTAGCCCTTTTGGCAACACCATCACACTGGGAGCTCATGTACAGGTGATTATCCACCACAACCATAAAATGTTTTTCAAGGTCACTGTGTCCCAGGATAGAATCCCCCAACCTGTAAGTATTGCCTATATTCTTCATTCCTAGATTTACATTTAGACTATTAAAATACATATTGTTTACATGCACCCAGTTTACCAAGTGATCCAGATTGCTCAGACCCATCCTCTTCCTTGTTTACCACTTGCCCAATTTTTGTGTCATCTGCAAACTTGGTCAGTGATGTTTCCTTATGTTAAATAGCATTAAGTCAAGGAACTGATCCCTGAGGGACCTCACTGGAAATAAACTAACTTGATGATGATTCCCCATTTACAGTTACACTTTCAGACCTACGCTGCTATTTTCGGCTGTGCTATTGCAGGTAAATCTAATACAGGTATGCCTACACATGCTGTAATCATACCTTGGCTTGCAGTATAGACATACCCTTAGAGCAGTCACACAGCTCATTGTGAAAGGCATGTGCAATATAGAAAAAGAACAGGGCAGTGCAGTGTGACCTCCACAGCTCTATCACCATCTCCTACCTGACTTCCACTATGTGAATTTTCTGAATATTTGAAAATCTGCCTCAAAGTCTTTTTTAAAATATTGTTTCTAAAAATTTCGTTGGGTTGATGTTACATCAGAAAAAAATCTATATTAAACAAAGAGGTTCTAACTGAACATCCGACCCAAAATGAAAAATATATAATGGTGCTAAATACTGTGAAACAAATGAACAACCACACACTTAACAAAGAAAGGATCATTACGATATTGAATTCAGGATTCAACAGAATACTGATCAGCTAATCTTATAATTAATGTATCAAATGACCCTATTCAAAAAAGGATCCCAAACAATCAAGAAAGATGTAAAAAGGAAGATCACATTATAATTAATATTGATAAGTAGCTGAGACGATCATTCACTGATGTTTTGGCTTAGGCCTAATGGCTACTGGATGCTAACTTTAACTATTCCTTTGGGTTTCCTTACAGATGAGCCTGGTCATGTCAAGATTTTTGATCATTCTATTTAGTAAGGCCAAAATATTCGAACAAGGATGTTCAAAATTAGGCACACAATGCACAATTTTAGTTCTTCAAATCTCTTAACCTAGATATATTTACAGTATGACATGCCTGCACACTTAACTAGGAAAATTAGTGTAACAACAATAGCCTCTAATGGGTTGTGCTTCATAAAATACATTCAACTCATAACCGGTTTATGACATTGGCTCATCAATTTCTGTTGAAGGGCTGAAGTTTGAGTTCTGGGATTCAACAGATTGTGAACATAAGGAATTGTGAGTAAAATTAAAAGACCAAATCTTGCTCTCAGCTCTCACTAACTCCCACTGAAGTCAATGAGAATTATCTGGGTATATCAAGGGCCAAAATTTGGCTCTAATTATTGTTTTTGTATTGTGGGTGCACACCTTCTTTCCACCCCATGTTGCTGATTTCTACTGAATTTTATATGAATATTGATATGAACATTCTTCATTAAGGGAACTTCCACACGCAGAATGGGTATAAAATAGGCATTAACAATCAGAAATACAGGATCCCTTTAGTTAATGCAGCTGCATCTCCAGCTTAATTAATTGTATGTCAACCATATGGGAAAATCTAAAGATACATATATTTCCACTGAGTTTCCCCCTGTTAAATAACTGATGTGTTCAGCAGTTGCCATTAAAAAGTCAATATTTACCAGCAGACATTTCCACATTTGACATCTGTTGGTAAATGTTGATTTTCAGTTGTAACCATTGTACTTTTGCTGCTTCTTGTCATGTACAGAAAATATCACAGATATTACATAGTCATCTAAGTTTATATATTAGTTTATATATTAGAATCAACAGTCAGTTAAAAAGGAAAATATCATACTCAGAGCTATAGATACACTTTTTATTGAGCATGGGAAATACAATAAAGTAACTAAACAGTTTGGATCCTATCCAGCACAGTATATCTGCAGTCTTCTGAGCCACTCAGTTTGTGGAAGATCTACCAGCTCTGCAGAAGGCCTACCTATTCAGAAGAAAGACTGGCCGACTTTGGAGTGCAAAACACAAAATGAACAAAAACAGTGAACCAGAGAGCTCAAGTTTAGTAACTGCATTTAAGAAACTTCCTGCCTGCTCTTCTCCCTATTTAGATTCTGCGGATCTCCCTATGCTGAGGCAAGGCAGCTCATTGGCTTGACTCAAAAGCAATTCTTCTGAAGAGCCTCAAGGAGGGAAGATGAATAATTTATTCTAAACACATATAGAATTTAATAGAAAATACTAATCATTCTGTAGAGCAGTGATACTCAGACCTCAGTGGTTCAGGAGCCAAATTAGTGATCAACATTACCCAAAAAAGCCACAGCAGTGTGAATTCATTGTTTCATTTATATATTTAATACATATTATTCTCACAGCAAATAAGTGAATAACTTGATAAAAAATTTGATAACTTAATTCATTAATAGCATAGTAAAAGCTGACTGGTTAATAACTTAGATTGGTTAATAATTAAATCACACAGTGTTTTAATATCATGTGCTGAAGAGAGCCTCAGGAGACACATTACAGAGCCACTTGTGTTTCACAAGCCTCAGTGTGAGTACCACTGCTGTAGAGCATTGTTTTTATCCACTCAATAGAATTCTATACTTTGGGATACACTTCTCCATTAATATCATTATAATATTAATATGACAGTTAAAAAAGCAAAACCCAGAGAAAAGGTATCATTCTCTATTTTTTTAAGGGAGAACAGACTAGAAGGAAAATAGAGAGGTTGGGACCTGACAAGCTCCTTAGCTTCCTTTTCCTTGCAGACAGAAATAAAGGTCCAAGCCAGAGACCTCCTAACTCTATTGCCCTTTTAATATATGTTCATTCAGCTCACTGGAGGTGTTATCTTACAATAAACATTACATGACTGCTACCCAAGCAATACTTTTCCTCAGAGTCTTAAGTAGCCATCATAGTTGTATTCCTGAGAGCCCCCACTGAGCATCTGAGGCCAGCAGTTACATAAAATCCTTAATGTCTAATATCTATTCAATGATATAATAACAATTCTAATAATAGGGAAAGAATAATGGTGACTAGGAGCGGCCTGAATACAGAAAGGTGTGAAGACAATGGGAGTGTCATCCAGGGCTTAAATTCTCATTCCCACTCAGGACTTGGGACTGTAACCCCATGGAGGGGGCGCCAGGGCTTGAGGCTTTAGTCCTTCAGGGGAGAAGGGGGGTGCTGGGGCTTCAGTCCCCACGGCGCATGCTGAGGCTTAAGCCTCAAGCCCCGGTGCTTCCCGTGGGGCTGAAGCCCTAAACCCCAGGGCTCCAACGGGGCTCTGGTGGGTTCTGACTGAATTTAAGCCTTGGTGTCATCTAAGGAGCCTCATCCACCCAGGCAGGGAGCCGCTGACATGAGACAAGAAGTTCTACAGGTAGAAAGTTTGTATCTGTAAATAACATGTGATTTGAAGAGACTGCTCAACTTCGTTGTATATTTTTTGTTTAATTTTGTAGCTGTACAAAAGCTGCTGTAACTCCAATTCAGGATCTTTAATCCATCTGGGCTGGAGCACATGATTTAAGAGGAGAGGCTGAGGGAACTGGGATTATTTAGTCTTCAGAAGAGAAGACTGAGGGGGATTTGATAGCTGCTTTCAACTACCTGAAAGGGTGATCCAAAGAGGATGGATCTAGACTGTTCTCAGTTGTAGCAGATGACAGAACAAGGAGTAATGGTCTCAAGTTGAAGCAGGGGAAGTTTAGGTTGGATATTAGGAAAAACTTTTTCACTAGGAGGGTGGTGAAGCACTGGAATGGGTTACCCTAGGGAGGTGGTGGAATCTCCTTCCTTAGAGGTTTTTAAGGTCAGGCTTGATGATTTAGTTGGGGATTGGTACTGCTTTGAGCAGGGGATTGGACTAGATGAGCTCCTGAGGTTCCTTCCAACCCTGATAGTCTATGATTCTATGTAATGTCCGCATACAGACACCTCCAGAGCCCACAGAACTGCACATATACAATATAGTTAATAGAACTGTGGGCCTGTGGCTTCAAAAGCATCTTCTCCTCTTCAGCCAAAAAGAATCTCTGTTAGCTGGTATCAGTACTTGATCCATTCCCAGAGGCACTAGGGGGCTGGGACAGGATCACACACACTAGAGCCAGTACAAGTCGCCTTTTATAAATTAATAAATGAGAGAGACTAACAAAGCTGCCATCTTAGTCATAGAAGACTATTTCCATCATTGTTCTCATCTGATATCCGTTTTCTTTGAAAACTGAATACCAACTAGGTCACATCATTAGTGAAAAAGATCTTTGAAGCTCACCGTATTTATGATCCATATTATTGGAAACATGCCATTTACTAAATTCCAACATTTGGCTTTGAGAAACTTTAGAGGAAATATTAAATGTCTTCTGTTTTGTTACCCATAGAAAAAAGTGAAGAAAATAAATTTAGCTTTTAATGTACACTGTTGATTTGTTTTGCTGGCATGAAATTTGACAATGCTACCAACTATATCAGCAGTAGTTCAGCATTTTCAATATATTTAGTCAGTTCCAGATTTTGAAAATTCCTAAATATATTTTACTAATATGGGCATCTTTAAACAAAATCACTTTTTAAAGCTATCAAAATATCTAGACATACCTGCTTCATATGTTGTGGCATGTGCAGTCATGCTCCACGTGCTTGACCTTCGACCTTTTGTTACCATGACAGAGAATTCATACATAGTGTTTGGCTTAAGGCCTATTACACTATGGCTCAAAGCTGTTGTATCTGCTGACTACAAAAGGGGGGGAAGAGGAAAACAAATATATGTTTAAGCAAGTAAGACTTGAAAAACGCAATCCTAGAAAACTAACTTCCACACACACTTTCTCCATATAACAGAGAAAATGGAAGAGCATAATAGAGTAACACTAAATAACCTTGGCACTGTAGCATGTATTTTAGTGGAACTATTATTAGTACTATAAATAAGATACTAAACTTGTTTTCTATCATTTAGACAGTTAACTAAGGTATGGAGAAAAAATGTTTAGCAGCCTCTAATGGAAGTTTACAAATACATATTTTCTCACCAGAATGGTTCTAACTAAGGCACTCTGGTCTTTCTACGTTTCTTGAATGAATATGTATTTAATTTCTTATAAAAACTAGAACTGTTAAGTCTTGTATTTTTGCTTGTTTAATTATGCATTATTTATCAGGCTCACTACAGCATGTTAAGAACAGGTATATAAACTAATATTGATGTGCATATTACATTTTTATAATGTAGATTTACCTGATCTCAGCCTGTTCTAAGGAATGACTTAAGAGACACAGCACATTTTTATCACATGAGTAGAGCCAGAGGAAAATTGCAGGATAAAACTGGTGAAAACTGAATGAAACCCTGTCTGTATTTTCAGAGCATTATGAAGCCCCATCATACTGGGCCCAATTTCTGAAGAGTTAGGCACTTCCAGTGAGATGTTGAGCATCTTCCGTGCCCACTGACAGCAGTGAGAGTCGAGGGCATGCCACATCCAGTATAATGTGTGATCTCAGCTCATTTATCTGAGCGGTAAATCTTTAACTTGTACGATATATCTGATGGCCTAAAATCTACCAAATGATGCCTGAACCACTAGAGCGGGTGAGTGAAATTTATGCCCAGTTATGCAAAACATCTGACTTTCATCATTAGAATGGATCCTTTTTCACTGTTCGGTAGGATGTGTTTGGAACTCTGCAGCTCTCTGGTATTCACCAATAATGTCACCCTTGTGTAGACATTAATCATCAGCCCTAATGATGCAAGTTAAATCTTGTAAAATGTTACAATTAGCTTCGAAGGCAGTGCAGAATACTGCTTTGCTTTGCTACTCCACAAGCATTCACACTGAGGCTTTGCACAGCAGTTAAACAAAGAAGCTTCTGTATTCAGAGACAAATTCCGTCATCTTTGTACTCACTGGGACAAATTGTAGCCCTATGCAAGATAATGAGAGATTTGCAGTTGACTTCTTTGAGACTAGGATTTCACCCATTGAGTAGTCCCCCACTCTGTGAGTAATCCTAGTAAAATCAACGTGTCAACTCATGGAGTAAAAGTGGCAAAATTTGACCATTAACTATGTGACAGATTTCCCTGTGGTGGGAATTACTGTTCACCATAAGTAAGCCACTGACTTAAGTGGGACTATTTGTGGAATGAGGTACTACACAGCATGACTGAAGGAAGCTAAATCTTATAGACAGCACTGTAGAAATTAGAGTTATATTGGTAGGATGGCCCATGCAATGATCTTTGGTGGAAGATGACCAAGGGGGAGGCCAAAGACCGGCTATGTGGACTAGACAAAAGCTGACTTTATGGAGACCAATTTGCATGACAGCCAGGCATACTATCATGAGTTCTGGAAAAAGGCTATAAAAGCCGCCGACCCCAAATAGGAAAGAAGAAAAGGAAGAGGAAGAAGAGCGCTGTAGGAATTAAACTTTCCTTTTTTTTCAAACTTGCTCAGATATTTCACATGCTCAGGATGAAGGGACAGGAATAAAACAAAGGGCAGGTCTCCACTATAGCACTACATTGGCACAGCTGTGCCCCTGTGGCACATCTGGTGAAGACACGCTATACCGGTGGGAGAGCGCTCTCCCGTGGCCATAATTACTCCACCTTGGCAAGAAGCGGAAGCTATGTCAGCAGGAGAGCATCTCCTGCTGACATAGCACCAGTGTGGACAGCGCAAAACTTATGTGACTCGGAGGAAGGAGGAGGGAGAGTCTTTTTCACAAACCTGAGTAACGTAAGTTATATTGACTTAGGCTGTAGTGTAGACCTGCCCAAAATGTTTGGAAAACAGGCTGGGGTTGAACATGTTCTGGACACAATAGGCTTTGAGTGAACATACATTCATTGTGACTTTTTTTTATTAAAAGTAAAGTTGTGAGATTGCTGCTTCTGGCTGAACTGGAAATAACAAAGGAACAGACTGATGTGACAGATATTGCAACTGTATGCAGACCTTGGGGGAAACATTGTATCAACATTGTATACTGTGATAGACCCAGACCAGGTGGGTACAGAAGAGTAGCCTTATTGGGATCCAGGAAGTGGGCGGGGCGAAGCTTGCCCACTGCTAAAGGATTCCCCCACCCGGCCTAAGTGTGGGGGGTCCACAGGACCTGGAAAACCAATTAATTACGGGGGACAACTAATGAACAACAGGGACAAGAGTGCGGTCAAAGGGTCAAACGAAGGGAACTGGATGGGGACACCGAGCAGAGGACCCCGGACAGCGCCCACTGCTCCTCAAAGGCGTCAAGGGAGTCAGTGGATGCCGCCCAGAGGAACTCTGCCCGGAGGCATGAACGGACAGAGGATCGGAAGTAGGCCCCACAGTCGCAGGAGACCCATCGGCCAACCTCCTCACCCTGGTTTTACAGATGGCCACTTTAGCCAGGGCCAGGAGGAGGTTGACCAGGAGGTCCCACGACTTAGTGGGGCCACGGACAGGGAGTGCATAGATAAAGAGGTGAGGGGAAAAGTGCAACCAAAATCTTAACAAAATATTCGTGAGGAGCCGGAATGGGGGCTTCAGCCTGGCGCACTCCAGGTAGACATGCGCCAGGGTTTTCCTCACGCTGCAAAAGGGGCAGGTGTCCAGGATTGGGGTGAACAACGCCAAGTACACGCCCGTGCTCACGGCCCCGTTAATGAGCCGCCAACTGATATCCCCGGCGGGCCTCGGGACTAAGGTGGAATATAGGCTGGCCCACTGGGGCTCCTCACCCTCTAGAGGTGGCAGGAGGTCCCGCCACTTTGTGTCAGGGTGGTACAGAAGAGTAGCCCTATTGGGATCCAGGAAGTGGGCGGGCGAAGCTCGCCCACTGCTAAAGGATCCCCTCAGCCTAAGGGGGAGATCCACAGGACCTGAGAAACCAAATAATTACGGGGGACAACTAATGAACAACAGGGACGGGAGTGCGGTCAAAGGGTCAAACGAAGGGAACCGGACGGGGACACCAAGCAGAGAACCCCGGACAGCGCCCACCACTCCTCAAAGGCGTCAAGGGAGTCAGTGGACGCCACACAGAGGAACTCTGCCCGGAGGCATGAACGGACAGAGGATCAGAAGTAGGCCCCCAGTTGCAGGAAACTCCATCAGCCAACCTCCTCACCCTGGTTTTGTAGATGGCCACTTTAGCCAGGGCCAGGAGGAGGTTGACCAGGAGGTCCCACGACTTAGTGGGGCCACGGACAGGGAGTGCATAGATAAGGAGGTGAGGGGAAAAGAGCAACCAAAATCTTAACAAAATATTCGTGAGGAGCCAGAATAGGGGCTTCAGCCTGGCACACTCCAGGTAGACATGCGCCAGGGTTTTCCTCACGCTGCAAAAGGGGCAGGTGTCCGGGATTGGGGTGAACAATGCCAAGTACACGCCTGTGCTCACGGCCCCGTGAAGGAGCCGCCAACTGATATCCCCGGCGGGCCTCAGGACTAAGGTGGAATATAGGCTGGCCCACCGGGGCTCCTCACCCTCTAGAGGTGGCAGGAGGTCCTGCCACTTTGTGTCAGGGTGGTACAGAAGAGTAGCAGAAGGCAGATATACTGGCCACTGGATTAACAGTGTTCTGTTCCCTGACTGACCAGAGCAGGGGCTGCTCCAGGCTAATGAGAGCACCTGACTCCAATTAACCTGCAAAGAGTTAGGTGAGGCCATTAAGCTAATGTGACCACCTGACTCTAATTAAGGCCCCTCTGATAATATAAAAGGGCTCACTCCAGTCAGGCAGAGAGAAGCCAGAGGAGAGGAAATGTGGCTGAAGGGCTGGTTAATGAAGACACCCTCAAGTCATTGGTAAGGGAGCCTTGAGGTAAGGGAGAAGCAGGAGAGCTGTGGGGAAGTGGCCCAGGGAAATGTTGCAACTCTGGCAGTAAAAGGTTGGTTTTTTACAGCTGCTACCATTAGGGTCCCTGGGTCGGAACCCGGAGTAGAGGGCGGGCCCGGGTTCCCCCCAACCCACCACTGCAGAAGCACCTCCTGGGAGGGAAAAACAGGCCCCTGTCAGGACAGGAGGCTAAACTGTTTTAGCATGAGGCTGTAGGAGCAACAGAGACTATGGGAATTCTCTCACCAACCTCCATTGCTGGCTTATGTTGAAAAAAGCTCAAGTAGACTGTACCCCTGGCCCTAGAGAGAGAAGGGCTATGTAGTGAGTCTCTGAAGCTAGCATAAACCGCCTGGAAGCGCGGGACCCACGGGGACAACTTTGGAGCTCTGCCACAATACATACAATCCCTGTGGGCCAGGGATTGTATGTATGACCGTGTCCTTCTCCACAGGGAAGTGTTACCTGAGCTGCTTCAAGAACTAAAATAGCAGGGGTTGGGAGGAGGGGCAATTATTAAGGTGAATCACTCAAAATGTAAACTCCTCCAGAGAGATACCACTTTCTGGAGAGGTTCAATCTAGATTTTCCTGAGACTATGAGACAAATACATAGCTTTTGGCATTAAAAAAGCCATGTTTAAATTGACTCAGGGCCTTCGTTCTGATCCAGCTAATGGACAAGACTTTCTATCTTAGGGCCCCAACCCTTGCGGATTGGAAAGACTTTGGCCCTGCTAGGGCCTCAGAAGATTGATGGGTGACTTCTGGTAAGCTTTCTGCATGCGGATTGGAACTTATTGTTTTTTGTATGTTTTCTTAATGCTTTTACTGTAAGAATAAATGTGCTTGCCTAGAGAGTAACTTGTAACTGTTGGCAATACACTGTTCATAGCCCTCAGAGAAAACGCAACACACAGGGGCAAACTTTAGGCAGAGTGCCTTTCTGGGGTATCCGAGTGTAAGGCAGGGAGCTGTGCAGCCTTAAGATCTCCAGGGAGAAGGGAATGGGACAAGGGTCCTTGGTGAACGCTGGAGACCTTAGGCCTGACTGGTCACTCTAAAGCGGACCATGGAGGAGGGGATACAGATGCAGTTACCTGGAAACTGTGACAACTAGTTCATGACACTTCAGCTACAGATTGGCTAAACTAAAAAATAAACCAAACCAACCAACAAACAAAAAACCCAGAGGGGTTTGACTCTTCATCCCCCAATTCAACTGAACTTTCAATGGAAAAATAGCAGATTTGGAGACTGTCTTGAGTTCTGGATCAACTCTAATTTCCATAATTCTCCTTCAGGTGGAATCAACATGAGCCATCTCTTTTGTTGTCCTATTCATTAAAAATAACCCTATATGATCACCCCACCTTAAGTTTTTCCATCAGGCTTGGTTGTCCGTATAGTTACTTTATAGTTACCTAAGCTTCTGTTTCCAGTCTTGACCATTCCTAGGGTTCCTTCCTATATCTATGTGCTGTAATAAGTTAGTTTCTTCAATGAGTTCCACTTATCCATTTTAACAGTTTCCCAGCAAGAAACAGGGTGGGGTGTCACAGGCAAACACAGTTAACCCGTTGAACTCATTTTACATAAGTGTGGTTACTATGAGATGACACTAACAAAGCTAGCTTTATATTTTTTGTTTGGCACCTGCAATTTTCCACTGGGCCTGCACATGATGAACACACAGTGACAATGTGGACAATTTCATAATTGTCTAAAGGTCACGATAAATAATGCTGTGCTCTTTGGAGCCTTGCTCTTACTATAGGAACTAAATTAATAAAACTGTCTCGTTCTACTGTATTCCACATTTTACTGGGAATGGGAATAAATCTCTCAATGGGTACAATTACATCAAAATACAAAACTACACTATTTCAGAAGCCTTAATTTTTCTACACTGGAGCTTACTACACTGCCAACAAGCCCCATGTGTATGCTACATGAGCGTATAAGAATTTGGTGATCTTACGGTTTAACACTGTGGCCCAGAACAGTGCTATCTGAGGTTGAGATAGCTATGATAGTAATTGTGACACCACTCATTCTGTGATACACTTGAAAAGATGTTCAAGATGTACTGTTATATAGTTAAGCACGTTTAACTAGTATCTCTTAAGACATTTAAGATCATCAGCATCTACAGTTAAAAGACAACTGGCCTGATTCTTCTCTCACTTACACTATTGTAAATCAAGAGCAGTGGTTACACCAGTGCAAAACTAGTGTAAGCAACAGAAAAATTAGGACCACTGAATGAAATTCTGGCAGATGTGTTATGGTCACTACTAGAAAAATCATGTCCAGCAGGGGGAGTGAGAAAAAAAGTTTCCATAATTATTTTGTCTCCTTTCAAAATCCACTGACACAGTGATATAGCTCAGAGTCTAAGAACAAGAACCAGATTCTAAAAGGTATTTAGGTGCCAAAAGATGAAGACAATTCTCTAGTGGGATTTTCAAATGCACCTAGGTCCCTAATTCAATAAATATTTTTAAAAATCCATCCCTAAATCCACGTTTCTAATCACAAATTCATTTACTCACTAGTGGCCCTGTGATCATAATAAGAACAATCTGTACTAGAGAATTATGTTTGGGGTGGTGACCAGTCACTTATCGGTGAACATATTTACAGTGTATATGTGCAACTATTGGGAACAATTGCATGTTGCTGAAGAAGATAGCACCATATGGCAAGAAAAGTTAATCAGTAATTATGACATGGCATGACAGGAATGGTGAAGCATGTTCACCAGGAGTGATTTGGACATTATAAGATGCAGGATATGAATTGACTATAGTATGTAAATGGATAGAGTTTATTTTTTCAGATTATTAATTATTATTATTTTCTCTCCTATCCCACATACATTTTAATATTTTGTTGGCATTAGTGTTTGAAAACATCTTTCATTTACAAGCAGTAGGATATTCATCCTATTACAGGCTATTTCCAAATTGAGAAGTTTCCTGTTCACTTGGTGCTTTTTGAGTGTTTGTTGCTAATATAATAAAACAGGGATTTCCAACAGCATGGTTGATTTGAAATTGGCATCCCAGTTTCATTCTTGGGCATTATGCTGTCCAATCAATGACTTTCTAACTTACATACAATATGTAAAATTAAACATGAGAACCTTCAATAATTAGATTTTTAGTGTGGCATTTTCAGGCCAATAAATACTCTTAAAAAACCTCAACTATATATATTTGTGGCCCTATTAACATGCTTGCTATTCAGGACAAATCTCCCATTGACTATACTGGGAGTTTTTCCTGAGTGAAGTTCAGAATAGGTAGATTCAGGTTATTGTCAAATAAAATACGAACACAAGAAATCACAGGTCTTCAATTCATATCCCTTTATAACTTCACCTTGTATTTAGCACTTGTAGAATAGCTGGTTCTCCAACGGACAGTGTAAAAGCGAACCTCAGTAGTCTTTTGATTCTTTGGGACAGAGTTGTCTGCCCAGCTGACTCTCACTGCATCATGGGTAAGTGCAACAGCCTGGACACCTACTGGTGGGAGCATGGGGGTGGAGATATCTGGGACTGAGGTAGGGAAATCATCAAGCAAAGGATAAAAATCAACTTCTAATGGATCAATGGGATCTGGGTCAAAAACCACCAAATGAGCATTCAAAAAAAATGAATAGCAGTTAAAACAAAAACAAAACAAAACAATCACCAGTGGATACACATCACAATGGGTTAAATGATGAGAGGGGAACAGGAGAAGAACAGAAAGAGAGGCATTAATTGAAAAAGATAATACCGAGATATATATATATATATATATATACACACACAATATTTCACTTACATTACTGTAAATAAAGCTAACTAGCAATTAATGTTATTTTGTATGGCTTGTTCAAATACTTCCAGGTGTGCTTTCTTTTCTTGGCTCCAAAATGAAGTTGAAATGCATTGTTTCTCCTTAAAATGATTTACTTTGCAGAAAAAAGAAATACATAAATGATACATTATTAAAAACACGTACAAAATAGTGTCATTCTAAAAGACACTCTGATGTGTGTAGGAGTTACCTATGCTTTTCTCTCTCTCTCTCTGCAGCTTCTTTTGTTCTTTTAATGCTATTCAAAGGAGCACTTCTACATCTGCTTAAACATTTGTCAGGCAAAAGAGAACATAATTTTAATGCTAAGATGGAGGTCCCCATTTGTTGATTTAAGAATGCCAGCATGATAAATGTGTGCATCCAGGTATGGATATGTGGATTGCTGTTTTCATCTCTGAGCATGTTTCCTCCTTGAGACATAAGCACACTTCTTTTATGCATTTGGTGATCATGCTGCCTTCAGACAGATCAATAGACTGAACATAATGATATGCAGAGGTAGGTGAACTTAGTACAACATACAGAGGCAATCTGTGGTAGGTTTTATTATACAGAAAAGTTTGCTTCCATTTCCAAAAATGCAGTTCCATATTGGAAAGCCATACTTGGCAGTTAGCCAAATGCTATCTAAAACATCATGGGCCTGATTCTCCTCTCACTTCATTGTAATTGAATTGACTTCAACAAAATTAACCCTGATTTACAACAATGTGATAGGAGAATTGGATTGCATGTCTTTTTTTTAAGCTCTGAGTTTTAAGTGGTTAAAATACTACCTCTTAATGCAGAAAATGTTGGTCAGAGCAGAGTCATTATGTTAAAATGTTACCTTTTAAAAATATATATTTGCAATTTAAAAGCAAGATTATGATTTTATCAACCAAAAATTTCAGGCAGCAGTAGTTATGACACAGCACACACCACCATATTTTTTTCCAAAATAACAGACTACGTAATTAATCAAAGCACAAATTAATCTGACATTTCCCGATTGATAATTACTTCAGTTTGTCAGCTTTATATGTATGTCAAACTGCTGACACTCTTTGATCACTTTTTTTTTTGTAATTAATTATTTATGACTTCAGGAGGTCACAGACTTTGGAATAAAATATACAGGAGAAAAGCATGTTTAAAATTTTTGATGAGCAACTAGATAAGCCTTTTATTGCTGCTATTGTTGCTGCTTCATTCATCAGCTTCTTTAGAAGCTTGAAAATAGATGCTTGGGAAAATAGAGCAATCTGGTAGTTCACCTACAGTTCCAAAATTCATTCGGACATTCTGCATAGCAGGATGGGTTGAAACTTCTTTGCCTATTCACAAAGAATATTGCTACTCTTAAGATTTCAATTCCCAGTTCTAAACTGAAATTTTCAAGGAGATTTGTCTATAAACAGTGACATAATGAACACTTTTCATTTTTGTTTCTTTTTTGCTTACATAGTTAATGCTGTAAGGTAATATGCATTCGGTATTTTGGCAAATAAAACACTGCATCTTTTTTCTTTCCCCATAGTGACATACTGAATTCTGAAGGTCTGTTGTACAGAGGATCATGAAGAAAGACTAGGTCTTGCAAAATAAATGATTAGATTCAATCAAGATAATTCAGTTCTTGACACATGCCATCACTGAGCTGAGAAACGGTGGAATTTCTATAATCCTTTGGTGTCTGAAAATAGGTCCCTAAACACTTCCTCCACTTTTCAAAACAGAGTTATTTGCTGCTGTTCATGTTCGGACATCTGTCATTTAGAAATTGCATACCCTGGATAAAAAGGTTTCTGCTTCATTTAAATCTTATTTTACTTATCACATCATTTGAGATTATATGTTACACACACACACCCACACACACAAATTTCTATATCTGTCTATATATACACAATTCTTATGCACTGAAATAAATACAGTAGTTAAATCTTCTTTTTCATTTAGGGCAAGTCAGTTCAACAACCACTCAGGGAGTTCAACTAAAATGCTTCTCACTTTGCTGAATGTAGTTTTTGAAATGTTCTTCCATGAATGACCCAATGGCACTGACTCGCTTCAGAAGCTGCATCCAGAGGGGTAAGAGATTAGATAGGAAGCTCCTTGTTAGAACTGCTCTTAGAAGTAAAAGAGAAGCTGCAAAATGGCATACTTGTAGAGAGTCCTTGGGTCAATTCACCAAAGTAGAATCCAAGCTTGACATACCTTTTTCACATCTGGATAACATTTCATTTATGAGAGGTCACATACATACATACATTAAAAAAAAATTCCCACAGGCTACACATAGATAATTCTTGATCTAGCATCAACATGAAACAAAAGGTCAAACAAAAACAACACATAGATTTTGAACCAAGTTAATCAAATAAAGATTTCAAAAGACACATACTTAATCTCGCAGGCCTAGCAGGAAGAACTGACCATTTCAGATACCACACCAGAAGTGATATTAACAATGTTGAAGTCACATGCTCACTGTTAGATATTACATCTGGATACGGTTTCTCACAGTTGTCTTTGCTTTTACATTGAATGTTTTTCCCCACCTTTAGGACTTTCCAAGATTTCTTAGGGGAATACTTCACAAAAACATATGGACAACGGATGGTTTTCCATTTGGAGCCACAGTGCTGCCATTTGATTTAATTATCCTTAATGGTTCACCCTAGTCAATCTGTCTGTCAATGGTCCTTTTGCTCTCAGTGACATAAGCTTCCTTCCTCCGAGGAAGTTCTTAACATGGTGGGTGAAACACAAGGAAAAACTACCAAATGACGGTGTCACTCCAGAGGAAAATCGTTTTTGTTTTTGTATTTTTTTTTTGTTAGCTCTCTTCAGTCTCACCCACTCATCCCCCAACCCCATACACGTACAAAGGTCACCAAAGGAACCCTAAACTTAGTGGCACCCTGTTTTTTTGTACGAAGAATACATCTATGAAGAAAAATGTTGCATGGTAAGTGAGTAGCCTGATTAATACTGGGTATTCTGTTTTGTGTGAGTTTATATCATCATTAATTATTTGCAATACTTTCCTTCATCTTATCTGAGACCTGGCTACCTGACCCTATCTATGTCTGTGACTGTTCTTGGCTTTAATTAATTAATTTAAACTTAGCAAAAATTATAAAAGATACAGAAAATAATTAAATTCTGTCCTTGATTTGTTACAGCAGCTACAATTTTAACCTGATCTTCAGATATTCAAATTGCTTTGGGATTCATGCTGCTCCCAAGCCAACTCAATCAAACTACTAACGGATGTGCAAGCATTACATTATTTTATATCAGCTAATGAAAATTTACTGCTGTAAAATATATTTCAGGAAAGTGTAATTAATTCATTATCTTATATCCATGTAGTTCAACCATTTAAAATGGGGTGGAAAAATAATAATGATTTATTTTAGCAGAAAGTTGGATGTTGAAGAGCTCTTTCTTTATTGGCTTCCCAAAATAGTTTGCCGAATATGTAGGTAAGGCTAATGATAACTGAAATGGAACAAAATAAAAATCAACATTGCCAACTCACCTGTCAATGATCTAGTGGTGGCACTTTCATAGAGAGGGACTCCTTCACCCACGTTGTTAAAGGCTTTTAAAGAAATTACATAATGGGAACTTGGCTCTGCAGGCAAAAACAAACAAGGCATAACACACATTGTTAAAATCAATGCTCTGAATCAGACTGGATTAGCATTTTCATTAAAAATAAATAAAATATGTCAAGTGAATGCCTGTTCAAACTAAACCAACAGCTATAGAGCTGCTTAGAAAGCTGTCATGTTTTTGCTTTCATTCCATTCAGGCTTCTAATTTAGGACCAACCTTATAGTCCTTTCTCAGTCTTTAATCAAAGTTCCCATTTAATTCAATGAAAGTTTTGCCTGAGTAAGGACTGCAAGATCAGCCTTTTCTTCCACAAGAAGTAACTACTGATGCACAACTCTGCATGGAGTTCACACTCCCCCTGCATGTTGCATGGGGTTTTGCTTTGTGTCACTATGCAGTATGGATTTAGCGATACATCAGGAATTGGATCCGCTGGCCCCTATATGGAAGGAAAGTTGTCAGTACAGATGCTGTGGTTGCCATTCCATTTCAATGATGGGAAACATTCCTTTTTCCCAACCCCTGATGAGGTCCCCAGCTCACCACCCAGGTACTCAGGCAGTGTATTTGGGGAAGAATTTGAGGTCAAGATTTTAAGATTGCTAACTATATATCTGACTTGTTTTTTGAAATGCATGTCAGTGCATTTAAAATGTTCCCCCCCACCACCATTTTGCTGGAGATTTTGTTCTGAACCAAAATTCGAACAACTCACATACCATTATAATTCCTATATTGCTGCTGAGGAGTATATCTCACTCACTAACTTTGTGACAGAAAATTTATTGGTAATAGCTATTTTACTACTGTTGATCTTACTAATATTGAGAATTTATCAAGCCTTGAGCTATCTGAATAATGCTGGCATCCTGACTTGAAGCTCAGACATTGTATATCACTCTGGTGTGCAGTTAGCGATTTATAATTTACTAACTGTTGTACTAATGAAGACCACTAATCATCCAGGGATATACATCCAAAGCTATCCAGCTATGCTGTAAATGTGTGGGATGTGAAGGACAGAAATACTGACATACAAGAATTAACTTTTGGCAACATGAATATTCTTTGATAGCTTTCTGTGTCATAGATTGCAATAGGAATATTCTAAATATATTCCCCCAAAGAAAAGAAAGAAACAGAATAGGTCAGTTTTGTAATACTTTTTGCTACTGTTTTCAGAAGAAAATAAAACAATCCATTCTGCTGCATGTTCTCAAGTGATACCTTCAGGGCCACATTTTCTTCAGTAGGGAAGCTGATAGTTATTGTATTGATGTAAATTTTAACCAAGAATGCTGCATGCTCACATATGGGCCAAACATAGGGAACCACTTTCTTGAGATTCTTTATTTCACAGAAACAAATGATTTTAAGTGAGGAGACATGAATTAATGTAACATTACAAAGGAATTGCTGTGGAATTACATACTTTATCCACATTAATATTAAATGAGTTAGGAATGATAGATGTTGTTATACTGAATGAAATAATAATAATTAACAATGTATTGTATAGTGTTGCTAGTACCCCCCGAATTTTGTAATTAATATTATGTTGAGCAGAAACTGTGAGATATTTGTTTAATATTCAGGTAGATGCTCTGTTCATTTCCAAAAAGAGCTAAATTTTTAAAAGTGGCTAATGAATGAGTGGAGCATTCTCCATTAATAATGCTCTACACTAAGTGTTCCACAGTGATTACTTCAATTGGTATTCAGTGTAATATCATTCGTCATGATGAAATTATTTAGTATTCATGGAAACGTAATATAGATATGCATGTGATTTCTGCGATACACTAGCTTACTATCTTAGATTTCTAATCTTTGTGGGTACCTGACTTTTTTTATCTTTAGGTTCCATATGAAAATATAGTAGTTATTATAATTAAAAAAAATTGCTTAGTATTTTGCAAATTTTACAGTATGATTCTACAAGTTATTCTCTGAAACATATCATGTGATCTACATGTCGAATCAAAACACATCTTGAACCTCCAATATTGAATACTTGAAATTAATTGCTCACAAATAATCTACTGACCAAAAATTATTCTTAGGAATTATTTGGCAAACAATTTCAAACAAATTCTTTGCAGAAAAATGTGATCTGTTCACAGAAAATCCATAAACAGAAGCTATATTCATCAAACACATTCTTCCTTACAACTGTCTATCGAGCTCTAAATTATTATCCACCATCCCTTATTCTCTCTCACACACACACACACAGATGATACTTTCCTGCTTTCACATTTTAACTAATTTGGGTGAGGGTCTCATTAGCAAACATGGATCATGTTTCAAGAGAACTTGGTTTGATATTTGGCTGTGAGGAAAAGAATTATGGCTTTGAGTAACAAACAAGAAAAGTTCAGAGGTTTCAGTGAAGTCTGTTGCTAATTAGGACAATAAGTAATAGACTAGGTCTCATTTAAAAAAATAAAAAATAACATTTACCATACTTCAAATAGGTCTTCATCCTCTCTTTTGAGTTTCCGCCCAGATGCATTCATAGAGATCAATCATATCCCTTCATTTTGCTATGCTAAACAAGCAAGCTTGTTTAATCTCCTCTCATCAAATAGGATCTGCATTCTCCTGTTCATCCTAATAACTCTTCTCTGCAACTATTCCAGTTTGAATTTACCTTTCTTGCTCATAGGGTTACCAGAAATGTCTTCCAAATGAAGTCTTACCAGTGCCTTGTGTGATGTATTAATTTATCTCTACTGGAAATAACTTGCCTGATAAATTCTAGGATGACAAGGTGGGTGAGGTAATTTCTTTTATTGGACCAACTTCTGTGGGTGAAAGAGACAAGCTTTTAAGCTACTCAGAGCTCTTTAGTTCTGACCTGCAATGAAAATTAATACATTGTACAAGGTCTGACCTGAAGAAGGTAGCTTAAAAGCTCTGTGTAGCTCAGAAGCTCGTCTCTCTCACCCACAGAAGTTGGTCCAATAAAAGAAATTACCTCACTCACCTTGTTTCTCTAATACCCTGGGACCAACACAGCTACAAAACATGGCAAACATCCTGGGACCACATTTGATTTTTTTTTTACAGCCACATTACAATGGTGGCTCATAGTCATCCTGTGGTTCACCAACACACCAGGGCTTCTTTATTCCTCTGTCACTTTCAAGCAGCTTACAGCAGAAACTCTTATTATTAAACCCTAATGCTGTGGTATTTGAGCTCAATATCAGAGCTACATCCTATTCTGAATCTAAAAAAACACTGCAGTAAAGTCAAATACTGTTGCATGGCTAAATGTTGCCTTTTAAATTGCACCCACTGTATATTAATATTACTTATGGGGCCACTCTGGAGTTGAGTTTTTTATTTCTGTATTCAATTTGGTTTTAAAATATAAATATTTAAAATGACACTCGGCACCCTTGACAATTAAAAAATACAATCCAAACCAGTTAAAAACACCAGTGTCAAAACAGCAACCATCATACAAGAAGACAAATTTTTCCCCCCACCTCAGTTTCCACAAACCCCTAATCTTTCAATTCAAGTCTACTCCCAAATTCCCCCTCCCACCTAACATTTCAGCTTTTCCCAAATGCTTACCCAATACATGTGCTTTGAGGAGTGCCCTGAAACTCAATATCTTTGGGATATTTCAGACTAAAGATGGAGTCTCTACTTACCCTGAAAAATGTGACCGTTTTACTGTTACCTGAGATGCACATTTTACTATTACCTTCCAACTGTGGTGGCTGGACTTTGTGACTTTGTCCTCTCCCATAACTATTTCACATTTGGGGACAATGTATACCTTCAAATCAGCGGCACTGCTATGGGAACCCGCATGGCCCCACAGAATGCCAACATTTTATGGCTGACTTAAAACAACACTTCCTCAGCTCTCATCCCCTAATGCCCCTACTCTACTTGCGCTACATTGATGACATCTTCATCATCTGGATCCATGGAAAAGAAGCCCTTGAGGAATTCCACCATGATTTCAACAATTTCCATCCCACCATCAACCTCAGCCTGGACCAGTCCACACAAAAGAACCACTTCCTGGACACTATGGTTCTAATAAGCGATGGTCACATAAACACCACCCTATACCAGAAACCTACTGACCGCTATTCCTACCTACATGCCTCCAGCTTTCACCCAGACCACACCACACGATCCATTGTCTATACCCAAGCTCTACGATACAACCGCATTTGCTCCAACCCCTCAGACAGAGACAAACACCTACAAGATCTCTAGCAAGCATTCTTACAACTACAATACCCACCTGCTGAAGTGAAGAAACAGACTGACCGAGCCAGAAGTGTACCCAGAAGTCACCTACTACAGGACAAGCCCAACAAAGAAAATAACAGAACGCCACTAGCCATCACCTTCAGCCCCCAACTAAAATCTCTCCAATGCATCATCAATGATCTACAACCTATCTTGAAGGACGACCCATCACTCTCACAGATCTTGGGAGACAGGCCAGTCCTTGCTTACAGAAAGCCCCCCAACCTGAACAAATACTCACCAGCAACCGCACACCACACAACAGAACCACTAACCCAGGAATCTATCCTTGCAACAAAGCCCGTTGCCAATGGTGTCCACATAGCTATTCAGGGGACACCATCATAGGGCCTAATCACATCAGCCACACTATCAGAGGCTCGTTCACCTGCACATCTACCAATGTGATATATGCCATCATGTGCCAGCAATGCCCCTCTGCCATGTACATTGGTCAAACTGGACAGTCTCTACTTAAAAGAATAAATGGACGTCAAGAATTATAACATTCAAAAATCAGTCAGAGAACACTTCAAACTCTCTGGTCACTCGATTACAGACCTAAAAGTTGCAATTCTTCAATAAAAATACTTCAAAAACAGACTCCAACGAGAGACTGCTGAATTGGAATTAATTTGCAAACTGGATAGAATTAACTTAGGCTTGAATTGAGACTGGGAGTGGCTAAGTCATTACACAAAGTAAAACTATTTCCCCATGTTTATACCCCCC